ATTACAGACGGTGATTTGTGCACTAAAAGTGAATTTAATAAGTGATATTTAAAAATATTACTAACCGAATAACAATAACTTTAAAAGAAATAAAACTATTTAGGAAAATGATAATTAACTTTTGAAAATATCAATTGACATTCGCTCGATATTAGTAATCGCGTTTGTCTATCTCTCTCCCCCTATTCGACAGGTTACAAGTTTTCCAGTAGGTGGCACACCTATACGAAACAGCACAGGGGCGGCTCTGGGAATATGCGCGTTACAGTTAATTAAAACACTTTTTAATTTAGTATAAATTTAGCTTGTGGCAAATATAACTCTAACAGCTTCAAGTGGTCCATTTTGGATTTTGGAAGTGGGATTTTATTCGTGTAGAGTTTTTTGTACGACAATTTTAAAGATATATTACTTTTTCTTAATAGAAAATAATACTAGATAAAACCATGAATAAATTTAGAAAATTTGAGGCTCAATCCATTCTCTTTAGCTTCAAATCAAGAAATATAAAAATCTTTATAATTTAGGAAAACAGTTTTGATAATTAAGGTTTAAACTTGAATCAATATGCATTACTCGAAATTTTTCTGCAACAACTGAAGTATTTCAAATAACTGCCGTCCTGAGTCCAGAAGAACGGTAAAGAAACACAATGCTATGGAAAAGAGGGAAACAGAATATTCATCGCCGACTGGAGAATTGCAATATACATGCAATATCCCATTATTGCCATAGAAAGGGCGTGGTCAAACCAATTTACTCTCTTTATCCAACTCACGGCCAATTATTAAGGGTCTCATTTTTATCATATAGAACGGCTGTTTAATAGCCAGTCTTTCTAAATTTGCTTCGATGGCTTTTTTGATAACATTTCTTTTGGATCATGTTCGCTTTTTGCAATCAACAATTCATATTTGGGAGACTGATTGATAAAAGCAAACAAAGATGAGTGCGCTAGTGCAATGTCAATAATTAAACAATTTTAGGCTATTATCTGTGTTATCTATGATATTCGTTATCTGCGTTTTGCATTCTGCATTTTGTCCTAACTTGAGTGGGCACCGGTTTGTCTAAAAAATAAAACAGTTAAGTAAACATGTTGCCACATGTTTGAAAAGGAAAATAAAAGCAACGTATACGTTGATAACCTGACATATTGTTTTACTTGTTATGCGTAGATATGTTGTACGCTTGTTAACTATCCGTTATTACAAAACTTTCTGCATGCCTCAAGGTTCTAATTTGTAACCTCTTTTATTCTTACTGTAGGAATGCATAATCTTTTAAATAACAATTCAACATGAAGGTGCTGTCAAAATTTAGATTCTAGGACTCATCGATATTAATTAATATTCTTTATCTTTACTTAAATTTGAATGAAACATTCTAACCTAACTTTGTATAAAATATGCGACTAGTGTTTATATATTGTGTAGAATTTTACCTCTACTAACAGATATGTGGGTATAATCAATAACATTCGTTGGTAAGACAAAAGATTCATTTATTATGAAAGATAAAGCGAATACAAAACAAACCGCTGGATTGGATGTAATTCCCGATGAGTTGTTTATTTTTGTAGCCGTAGAGCCTAAATATTTGTTTTTCGACGTTTAAAACTCAGGAATTAACGAGTATTTCCAATTAAATGGTATATTTACAAAATAACGATATCTAAAGCTCTGAAGAATGGCTAAATTATCGCAATAGGATAATTTATTATAGATATAATCCAGCTTTACTGCAGATGATATTAACAATGAAATATACTGCGGTAGAGACCATTATTAAAATGAACCTTGCACTTTTGTTATTCAAACATAAACAGAGACAAATTGTTTTATTTTTTTATGTTTTATAGTACCCAGAACCTACATACTTTGATTTTCTTTTACTATACGGAGAATGGTCACACTGCGCAGCTTTCTGAGTGCCTTTTAAAAGGAGATAGAAAACTCCGCCATTTTGAACCCTTATTACATGTTGCCTACATCTTGGCGCAATATTTTTAATAGGTGCGTTTTAATCATCCGCTTCTGCTTCGGAATTGTCGGTTTTCTTGTTTTAATCTGACAGGTTAAAACGACTAAACCGACAATTCCAGAAGCAGAAGCGGATGATTAAAACGCACCTGACATTTTGCTTGCTGCTGTCAGTGTCAGTGAATATTATTTTTGAAGTCACAGTTTATTGCTAAAGAATCAGTTAGCTCACTCGGACCAGTTGAAAGTTCCAAAATTACATCCACTCCAGGGATACAAATTCAGGATACGCAGAAGACTGCTGTTTTAATATAGGCGGTTGTCATATATTGTATTATCCGAGTTGCACAGTGTATAAACTGAAACATTGAGATCAAAAGTGCCGACGGAGAGTGAGCCATCTGATTCTTTAGTTGTAAACTGTGTCACATGGTTCAAAATGGCCGCGCCCTATGTTGGGCGTGTCGGACCTCTCTCTTGCCTCGTATAGTAATCAAGCCAGAACCACTCTTATACGTTTAATCTACTTGTCATTGCCGTGTGTCAGTCTATGTCACATACTTTGATTTGTCCTGTGTTAGTACCAATGAACTGGAGTGGAGGGTAGAAGCACATACTTTGATTTTCTTGGTAGAAAGCTAATGTGCATATTGTATCAATAGAACAAGATGCGACTCTATGGGCGCAGCCATTTTTATTTCTCATCTCACTCGGGAGTATTTATATTAACCATTTTCTGTTTCACATTGTTATTGTTCAATCCGCAAGCTGGTGGATCAGACAATAACAAAGTGAAATAGAAAATGGTTGTTATAAATACTCCCGAGTGAGATGAAAAATAACCTGTCTTCACCCATAGAGTCGCATCTCAAGTCTATTGACAAGCATTATACCCCACTCCAGTTCATTGGTTAGTACATGTCATGTCTACTATCATTTATCTAAATAGGTATGTGGTTTGATGTCAATTCTTGCTCAAAATTTACGTTCCTTTAAGGAGATTCAAAATTGAGGTTTGAGTTTGCGCAGTGAGTATCTATCAGACATGTCAATTGTCATTCGTGAAAGTGATTTGAAAATAAATGTTAATTTTGTTCATTTAAAAACAATTTTTACGACGATTAACCACGTATTGTACAACCCGCCGTTAGTTTTTTCTGAAAACATTGTTATATATATTGTTTCAAATTATGACTTTGTTTGGCACCTACTACGCAAACTCAAAAAAACCTCAATTTTATTCCCCTTGTAGGAACGTTTTTTTAAACTGTCAACCCTCCTCGGAGTGTCAACCATTCTTCTAATTTCAGTTCTGTGACTTGTCACCTGAAGTGCGTTTAGAATCCTTGCACGGCGCGTCTGTACCCTATCCTAAAGTATGTACAGTGTTGCCAATGTACGGAGAATTCTCCACTTTTTGGAGAATTTGAGAAGGTTCAGAGAATTTGCGCAGAATCTTGTGTGTTTTTAGCACTTTTCGCGTTGATCAAAAGTATGCCCCACTGACTGCGTTTGCGCATTAGTATCTAGCTAATCTAGCATAAAAACTAGATTTCAATAGGTTTTTTTTGCTCTATGCGGGATGGAGAACGAATTATAAACGCTTTTAGTCTTTTGTGTAAGATCTTTAAAAGTATAAACAACCAATAGAGAATATACATATATAATAATTAAAATTAAAATAGATAATGATTTGAGCCCTTGAGTATCGTTTACTACACCGGAGTGGGGGAAACTGTACATTTTCGCTTCTTCATGTATATATTGTTTTTGCAATTAAATATTTAAATAACAAAAATAAAATAAAACATGTCCAACTAAAATTACATCAAATGACGTATCCTATACTCATCAATTATTTATATCGGTAATGGTCTTTTGTTTCGAGAGTAGTTCAAATGACAGTTTCCACTAATTACTGATTAGTTGTCAATATTACTCCAAAGTAATTATGAAGTGATGCACACAGTTCGAAATGGACAGGCGTTATGTGAAAAACAAGTATTGTTGATAGTGGAAAATCGAAGAGGATTGATGTTTTTTAGGAATTGTCACTGAAAAAGCCGATATTGATTACGTGACGAAGATTTATTAAAAGCGCGGGATTCAATATTTTTCTTTTTTCTAGGTTTTTTATTTACACTAGCTGTCATGTAGGTCTTTTCGTTTCAGTTTGAATAAAATACTGTAAAATGGATTTTCTATGCGATCGGGAATTAAACCTTCCACATGTAAGCACTTCTACTTGCATCAGTCCATCAAATTCCAGTATACAGGGTGTTTTCGGTCTAGTCTCTCTATTTAAACTCAAAATGTACGTGACAGTTTTACTTATAATAAGATATCAACGTACTACTTCGGATAATTATATAGTTCAATATTGACTAGTTTAATAACCTAATTGTTCGTTTAATTGCAGTACCAGTATTTTCTTTTGAATATTAAGTTAAAACATAAAAAATACTTTTTTTTAATTAATAATACCAATTATTACAGTTTCAAATCTTGAACAGATATCAAACATTGTTTCGGTTCTCGCTTATCGTCATTCCAGTTTTAAGCTTAGATCAGTAAAGATGCCTCGGCATGATTAACAGTATATAAACACTTCAGTTTTACAGAGACTCCACCGTCAATCCTATAAGAGGTAACAGGTTTCGGGGTCGATATTTTTTAACTTAAATGCTTTTTGTTATCGTCTATAGAGCGTCAGATTGCTTTTCCTACAAAAACAGATACTTTTTCATGTAAATATGTAAATAATGTGTGTTCTAAGCTGTTAAATAAATAAATAATGTCCCATTAGTCAGCATTTTGATTGGTTGAATTCAGTTCCACCACTACCAGGTTTATCTGATGATATTCCCACCAGAATTATGGTATAGTAGGATCTAGGGAATAAATGGTATGAAATACCTCTTCTTCTTTTTCTTTTATTACATCAAAATAAACAGCAATACATCAAATATTTTATATGTACAATTACAAAAATATACAGAGCGTTTCAATATAATGTACAAACAAGAATTTTAAAATCATATTTTGGGCCATTCTATATTCTATATCAACTTGCAAATTTTTAAAATCATCATCTGGAACAGCGTTTGGAATAGTGTTATCAGTAAACAAATAACATCTGGTGATGTCTGTTCTTAAAAACCATATGTATGTTTTCTTGCGAAGTTTCTACGCCTTGCTTTGTTATAACTTTTCTGAAAAAGATAAAATATTTTAGTATAAATATGTATAAAATAACACATTGAAGTGAACAGAATATAAAATTTGTATAAGAAGGATAGGTCTGCAAAAAAATATCGGATAGTCGTTTCTGCATCGTGAAAGAACATTCTATGTATCTGCTGCACTTTGGAAAGAACTGGATTTCAAATTCCAAATGTTCGGATTCATCTTACTGGAACCTACCGACTTTAAACAGGTATCACCCACTTCAGCTGTGGTATTCATCAAAAGATGCGGCTTGTACGATGAAGTCAATGATATTTACATTCAATAAACAAAAAATACTGTGCCTAACTTTTTTTAACCAAGCAAAACAAGCTTTTACAGACGAATAAAGCTTTTTCAGCGAAAATCTTTTATGCTAACTTTTCTGTGTTTCTTTCTAATACTTTGACAGGTAGAGAATTTAGGAAAATTTTGTTTTTAAAAATATTTTAAGTTTGTTTAACCTTTCTTAAAACAATTTGTGTACAATTTTGCTACAACCTTGAAGTAAAATTGTTTGGTTCACTTTTAATGCTTATTTTTTAAAATGTATATTGTCATGTTACTTGTCATTAAAAACCAACTTACCCAGTGCAAAACAAAAAACGGCTATACCGCCGAAAACTGTGTCGTCTTCTCTCCCATTTTCTCCAAACTATTGTGCTTCAGTAACGGATTGAATTTCCTAATCTTTTTCAGTTTAAAAAACTCTTGAAACGTTAACCTGAACTGTCTCGACATCGTACAATAGAGGATGAAGTTGATGCCAGAGTTTGTCAGCGCCAGTATATCCATTACATCCCCTGCAACAAAAGACTGCATTGAAAAAGGATAGTATGTAACTACTTTGTTTTAATGGAGATTAAATTCCGAAAGGTGAGTAACAAATATAGTGTGAGCAGTGTTGAACACAAGGCTGAAAATGTATGAATTTAAACTTTTAGGGGTTGTTGTTAAGTGTTTTTATATTATTTCATATTCAAACTATCTTAGCTATAGGATCTTCCCCATTTATTCTTTTAAATCATGCTCTTCCTTCTTCAACAGATGTGTAAGTATTCATTTTGCAACGAGTTAGTTAAAGAAAAATATATGAAAATTAAGGAAAGCATAAAAAGAACCCTTTTGACTAATATTTTCCGCAGATAACGCGATTACAGTCCTTCCAATAGTTGAATGCCAATTTTTTTGGAGATTACTAGGACATTAAAAACGAGTTGTCCTTTTTATTTTTAAAGGTTAAAAATTTATAACATTTGCAAGCATCTTCAAAATACTACAGATTTCTTGACGAATGGTGTCTTTATATCGTATCCAAGAATCGTCGCCATATTAACATATTAGTGTTCTAAGATTAAAATAGCAAATCACTCGATCTGTTTGACAAAATCACTCGAACTGCGACTCCCGTTAAATTGCCAATGAAAATAAATACTCAAAATCAACCGTAAAATATCCAGCTAAATCTAAACGCTTGTGGTATGATAAAATTTGATAGCGACAACCAATTTTTATGAAGCTGCGCGATACAAAATTGATACAGCAACCTGGACTTCCATCTAGTTGCAAGCGTCCCAAATAAACCATAGTTATCCAATCAATACTTTCTCTGGTTTGATAAAACGAGTAAACCGTTCGCAAGATGTCATAGCAGTTGAGCTTTTATTCTCCAATAAGTCTTTTCAAACTCGAAAGAAAGTGATTTCTCTTAAGAATTTCATGAGAAGTGTCACATGTCAACTTGGAACAGTAATTTTAAAGCCGGTGAAAATGAAAATTCTTAAGAAAATTAAAATTATCTTGAAGGAAACAAGAGGAAGAGTCAGTGAGTTCTCATTTGCTTTAAAAATACCGTTTTCACGTTGACGTAATATGACATTTCTCATGAAAATTTGAGAAATTTGAAAATAGCCCTCCAGTAACAAATTAAATTATATATTTTATATTATCCTTACTGAATAGTATTTCTTTGACATTCTTCTTTTTTGTGACTTATTTATGTAAATTAGTTGTGTCACATCAATGTCAGTCTCTAGAAGAATGTGATAAATAATACGCTTGTTACGTGTTATTTGAATTTCCATCTATTTTACTTTCGTTTCAAAAAATATACGGTAGGTAACATTATTTTAATAAACGTTAAAAAATTATTCAAATCCTCTTATTAAATCGATTTTTGTAAGTAATCGAAAAAGATTTAAAAATAACAGTTTCCTTAGTCGCAAAGTTTTGGAAGATAACTTTTTCTATTAGGAAATGAAAAGATAACATTCGATAGCGGAGTAGATTGTGTTAGGAAGTTTCCTGAAAACTTTTCAATATGTCAATGAAAAATTTGCGAATTCATTTAAAATAATTTTCGTTGGTATTTTATGCTAATTTTCACGTTTTTTATAATAAAAATTTCACCTCGAATGACTTAAAATCATACATATTCCATTTTCGGCAAAAATGGACATACTATACGATTCAAAAAAAAAAAAATGTATTGGTGTAATCAACAACAAATGTAAATTATGCAGCAACTAATACTTTTACAGGGACAATGAAAATGCGACTATCATAGGGATATACACAGAAATAATTATCGATGTGAATTGCATAGTTTACATGTTACTCGTGTACCTACTGAATAAAATATTCGTTTTTCATTATATTTTTGATGTTTTATGCTTTTTTTCAATAAAAATTTAACCAAAAAAATAATTAATAGATAAAAATGAATTGCTCATCAATAGAAAGATTGGGAATCAGAAAATACTGAAAATAGCTATAATTTTATCCATTTAGAACTATTCGCAAAACAGTGGTCGCTTGTCTGTAAGGGATGTAAAGGTACAGCCCACCCTCATACTATTTACAACAACAAAAATATATATAGTTCACATTCTATTTATAACACCGACCTAGGTGACAGGGTGAGATTACAGAACGTCTGCAACTTTGCAGATCTGCAAATATGGCGGCAAATTTGCAGATTTGCAAATATGGCGGACTTACATATGCAATTATCAAGTCTTCGTATTCCAAAAAAGATTTGAAAATTCTCAATATTTAGTGTGGTTTATTACCCCCAACAACACTAAACCCAAATCCATTACTATGTTAAAAACTCGATAATCTGACACCACGAACTGTATTTAATCAAAAGAAAGAGAAGACTTCATGGTTGTAGGATGTTCTAACCTTCTTAAGGGTGGATTTGAATTTAGTGTTGTTGGAGGTAATAAACCGCAATAAATATTGCGAATTTCCAGATATGTTTTGGAATACGAAAACTTGATACTTGCATCTGTAAGTCCGCCATATTTGCAGATCTGCAAAGTTGCCGTCATATTTGCAAATCTGCAAACTAGCAGACGTTCTGTATTCTCACCCTTAGCGGAATACATCTGCTTGGCATTCGAGAGGTCGTGGGTTCCAGCCTCACTATCGACTAACCTGATATAGATTTTTCCCGTATACCTACCATCTCCTGTGAAGCTGAAGAGGCTGAAGTGTTTAAAGCAGCCCAATCACAACTGGAAGGATGAAATACAATACCTTTTCTTTTTTACCTGTTTATAACTGTGATAGGGCTCCTTTAGCTGATATTGCTGCTGATAGGGCTAAACATTACAGCGCCCTCAATTTAAGTATTCGGACTGTTAGATCGAGCAATGTCGGTTGCACAATTTTTATATACAAGAGGACTGCGAAAATTTCCGCCTTGCGGTGACAGGTAAAAAAAAGTTGTTTAAGTAAACGTGGTTTTGAAACTTCTTGGTAAGAGAGTTATGGCATAAAATCTTGGTAGTTGTAATATTTTGGCAACTATTAGAACTACAGTTCCTGTATTGTGACATCTTGAAACATTAATATATTTCTATGACATTAACGCGCTGCTAAACCCATAGTAGGCGGCGGTATCTAACGAATTACCACGGTAGCTGATGCTGTAGCTGCGTTCTACTTATTGTAGTTGGGCCCTACAGATATATGTAACATTTGACATTTCTTCTATTGGTTTTTCCATTTTTAACCAGCAAATAACAAAAAGTTTCCAAAGTAGGTATTACGGCTCTCAACTGGGACTTAAAAAGAAGAAGAATTGCATTCTTTGACATACGTGAATTTTTTTATGTTAGAAAAAAAATTTGTAGATCACTTCATATAAAACTGTGGCATTTCCAAGTCTTGTTGAGGGGTGGAGAACATCTAAAAATAAGTAGTATCTGTCTAAGGTCACAACAATTCCTAGAAAAAGATTTCTTTGTAAAAACCAATTAAAATAATGTTTTCTAGTTCCATAGTACATACCTACCAGAGGCAGATATTTTAATAACTAAGTAAATCATTTTTTAAAATTTTATTTTCTTTTTAGAAAAAACAGTTTCATGAGGTCACGAGCTCTCACTGTTTATTAGGCTCAAAGAAGGGATATAACCCACATAACCTTCATTTGCCCCATTCGGGCTATTTCCTCCATTGTTCCAGTTACCCCCATTCTCTATAACACATATTAATCTTATTGATACTTCCTCCCCTATATCCATCAGTGTCTAATATTAAAAATAGAACGTGCCCAATACATCCCTTTCCTGTAGAGTTATCAAAAATATTCAGTACGGCCCATCCAATTAAAAAGTATTTATAATGTGACAAAGATTAAAATTATTCGAAACATTTTTTACCATCATTGCTATCGTAAATACTAAAAACTTAAAATTTTGCGCTTAAAATTAGAATCATATACTCCCAAACGGTGTGTTTCATATTTATTACCCATAGAACTATTGCATTACAATTTTGTTTCACCTTGTATATTAAATTAACAAATGAAAAAATAAGTTTCCCTATCTAATTTTAGTTAAAAAAGGCAACATTGGTGATAAAACATGGAAATTATAGCATTAAACCAATGTAATTATTGTATTTAAATTTAAATCAAAAATCTAATTCTTCCTATATATTCTATACATCCTGTATAAACCTTGTTTTATATCTTTTATACCCATCCTTGTCAATTTTAATTTTTATACCTACGTAACAATTTGTACATGCGCGCAAATAATTCTCTCTCACCAAACCAGAGAAAAAAAGTGTTTACAAGTTTTTTATCAAATCATCCGTGTTAATTTTAAAAGATGGTATTTGTGAATTGTGCAATGACAGTTAACTGAGAATATTTTTAAGGACTATTTTAATTTTGTGTTAGAAAAATGAAAAATCAATTTGATAAGGTAAAATTTTTGTTTCTTATAATAGATAATTTCTTAAATTTAATGAACTACCAATTAATCTAATAAGATTTGTTTTGTTTACATTTGAAAAGGTACATTTGACTTTATAGACATGAATTTTAAAATATTTTTTGCTCTATTAAATGGTAGTAGTTAAATTTTATGAAAATTAATATAAAATTGCTGTTTATCCAAGTTAAAATGGAATATTTAATAATAAAATCTCAAAAATATGTTGAGGTATCTGTACATCGTTGCCAAACGTTTTGATAGGTAAGAAGATATTACCTAATTTTTAAATTCTTAGTAATTGTAATTTATTTAAAAAAAAAACTAATATAATTTTGTTTCTGATAATTTTTTTTAATGTTATTTAGTTAAAATTACATAATCTATACAGTAATTCAAAAAGTTGTATAAAAATAAACAATTATATGTATATCTTGCATTTCACAAAATAAAAATTAGATGATATACAGGGAAAATAAAAAATAATGATTTATAATAAAGAGCAAAATACTCCCAAACGGTGTGTTTCATATTTATTACCCATAGAACTATTGCATTACAATTTTGTTTCA